GAGAAAAGACTCTTGTGGGCCTCCAAGGAAAATGCAGTCTCCCTAGTGACAAGACAACCCCAACTAGCAACCGTAGGCAAGGGGGAAACTACATCGTCGTCGGTAGCCCTGTTCCTAGCGAGTGCTTGCCAAGGCGCAAAGATGAAGCCCGATAAAAGTGGTTTAGGGTTTAGGGTTGAAGGTTTAGGGTTTAGGGTATAGGGTTGAAGGTTTAGGATTTAGGGTTTAAGGGTTTAGGGGTTTAGGGTTTAGGGTGGAAGGTTTAGGATTTAGGGTTTAAGGGCTTAGGGGTTTAGGGTTTACGCTCTCGCAACTCGGACTCCGCCAGACGAGGTCTAGGGTTTAGGGTTCATAGTCAGTATACATGATTCCTGATACAGTATTGTCACTATGAATGATACAGTATAGTCATTACAAATGATACCATATAGTCATTATAAACTATACGGTTGCTGATCTACATCCTGCATTACCCATAACAAGGAATACACCAAAGTTCCCATGGTTTAGGGTCCTTAAGGTAGTGCGGGATCTATATCATCAACTTTACAGTACAGTCAGTACGGTGCAACAAGAAGGATAGCCTAGGCTAGCCGAGGATAGGATAGGATAGGATAGCACATTGTAGTATAGTATGGTGTGGTATGCTATGGCAAGCTGCAGTATAGCATAGTATATAATGATATAGCACCATGTGAAATAATATGATGTAGCATCCTATGATGTATGATAAGTCGCGATGCGAAAAGATCAGGTACACTCCTGCTGCATCAGACAACCGCGGTACTCTCAAGCAAAAATGTTGACAACAACCAGGACGGCTTCAAAATTCGTGTGGAGAAAGGGCACCTGCTCCGACGATGAAGAAAGGCACGCCCCCCTGCACTGTCTGCTGACCTCGGGGCTGGCAGCTATCCTTCCAACTTCCAACTCCTGATTGAATGAAGGTCCCAACATCATAGAACCCTTGCAGTATCTGCTATGGCTCGATCAAAGGACGTCCTGGGGCCCGGGCCTGTGCGAACCTTGCACAGAGTTGCGAGCTTTTCCAAACCGAAGATCGGAAATAAGAAGCCGCGCCAGGGGCCAGACAAGTTGTAAGACTTCTGCTTCGCCACTTCCAGCCTTCAGGTATTGGAGTACCTGGATATCTTCATGTGGGAGTTTCAGCAGGCTAGGGGTACCTTATGTATTTTGGTGTCCTTACACTGAGGATCCGAATATTTAGGGTATAACGGCTCGCTGGTCTCGACGTTCCTGTGGAGACTGCAAACGTCACTCTCCATCCAACAACTCGCCAGGCTAGCAGGCCTCGTCGTAGGGCAGACCTCATGAGGTCCAAAGTTGAGGGGTTTGAGGTATCACAACTCGGACAAGCCGGGCGAGGATCCATGTGTGCGCAGTCGGTGTGAAAAGAGGGAAACTCAGGATGGTTTGAGGTTTAGGGTTTTGATAGAAGCCAAAAAAAACCTGTACTTAAGTGGGGCTTTGCCGGCTAAACCCTAAACCCTAAACCCTGGCGAGTCCTGAAGACACCCTGTAAGGGTCGCTCCAAGCTTGCTCTCAGCCAGCTCAGCCAAGACTTTCTCACTGGAGATGTTGGCTCCTGGGCATCTTCCGCGGGCTGTTGTGGAATTCACCAAGAGGTGTGTGTCTGTATAAATATATATATATATATATCTGTATATTTAGATATACAGCGAGACACATATATGTATTATATATATATATATGTATATATAAAATATACTACTGCGATATATATATATATAGAATAGATAGATAGACAGATAGATAAGTTAGAGAGATAAAAAGATAAATAGATAGATAGTTAGATCGATCTGACTGATCTCAAGTTGTCTGAGGTCGGATCCCTCCTCGTAGAGGGCTTGAAACAAAGCCGCCTTTGCGGCAGTGGAGCTAATTCCTGGAAGCATCATGGAATGGAATGGACATGTGAAATGTGAAATGTGGGATGTGAATGGGAAAGGCCAACCCGACTAGGTGACTAGGACTCTCTGCCTCTTTCCTCTGCAAAGAGGACGAGGCAATGTGCCTCCAAGATGCTCAGGCATTACATGCGCGATGTTCTCAGTCTCCGCAAGACAAGGCCTTCAAGGTGTTGGGCCACCATTTCCATTCCCGAAACGGCGCACCGACCTGCAGAAAACTGCAGGTCTAGGGTCATTTAGTGCCCTTCCGTTGCGGCCCTGCCTTCTGGCCCTGTTGGCGCAAGGACCGGGTCCAAGCATCGCTTCCCCAGCGCCGCTTGTTGTACGCTAAGTAATCCTCTCCTCCCCAAAGGGTCCAAGTACTAGTATAGTATATACTTTTGGGGCCCAAATACCTACTAAGTACCTACTATATGGTCCTTGGACCCTTTGGGCTCAGCTTCCCGGGATTCGTGTCAGCTACGTGGGCACAGGCTGCGTGAAGCTCCTCCTGCAGCAGTGCCGGGGTCAATGATATAGGGAAGCCACGACACCTGCCATGGAGCTATGATTACTTATGCGGTATCAGATTAAGTTAGATTATACTTAGCTTAGATTATTATTACAACTCGATTAGATTTTTAAAATAATAATTAGATCAGGGTAGATGAAAATGATAATTAGATTAGGTTAAGATTATAAACAGATTAAATGAAGATTATAATCAGATTGGATTAAGTAGGGCATCAGCCAAAAGCATTCTGCAGGCCTCCACGCGATCAGCTCCAAACTTCTGCACGGCATCATCCAGGCTTTTCATTCCTGCTTTCTCTTGCCGTGCTGCCCACAACAAACTCCTAGACTAGGTGTCGATTTCAACAATCCCCAAAATTATGCATAATCAAGGCTCTATAAGTAAAAACCGGAAATAACAGAAACCGATACCTAGATGTGCTTCCTGCCTACGTAGCACCAAGGTCAGGCGAGGTCGCTGAAGACTGAGACCTGCACCTGCGGTTACAAAGTGCAGGGAGGCGATGCCGTGCCTGACGTGAGCTGCCGCCTTGGGCCCGGAGGAAGCTGCCTCTTGCCATCAGGCGGTTTCGGGCCCCAACGGTGCGGTACTGTAGGCCCCTATAGGAACACCGTTGAAGTTCTAGTCAGGCCTCAGCGCGTCGCGCAGCGCGGCTGTGGATGCGACCACCTGTCCACGGTCGGTGCATCATTGACGGGACATGCAAACATGAGGCTTAACGTAGCATCCTATGGTGTACACATCCACGAACACGCCATGGGGGGAAGCCTGGCTCTACCTGAAAGCCCAGTGCCCAGCTGTGCCTGAATGTCTCGCACCGAGGAAGTCGATCGAGAAGCCCGCAAACCCTGCGTAGCTCTTCACACCATGTGATACGGATTGAATCGCACACACTGCTTGATTCAACACTACGGATATGGCCGTGCACTTACAGTCTACCTAACTATAGTGAGTCACACATGTGCATGAAAGCAGACAGCACAATGCAGCAAGACAGATTTCTGCCTGCCAGCACCAGCAGTGCTCCAGATGCGGGCTTGCGCATCTTGTTCAACCGGTGAAATTAACTACTTCGGTTGAGTGGCCGTCTTGGTGTGCGCATCTGTAAGCACAGTGCAGGGCAAGTCCCGTGGCGACGAGCAATGCCGTGGATCTTTATATCATCGAATCTTGGTTTGAGCCAATGGCTGCAGCGGATGATGTTCTACACAGGGCAGGCAAAACAAATCTGCGTTGGAACCGTAGGCTGAACAGCTCGATGCATGAGCATGTCAGAAGTCTGCCACAGCAAACCCGTAGCGACTGCTGCATCGCGGTGCGAGCAAGTGTTAATCCCAACTCGGGCTTCAGCTTGGCCACGCCACAAGGCTTGCGATAAGAGGAAATCGAAATAAGAATACCAAGAATCATAATAATAACAAATAGTAATAAAAGAGATAACACGATCAGTATCTTTACTACTTCTACTAGTAGTAGTAGTAGTAGTAGTAGTAGCAGCAGTCGTCGTCGTCGTCGTAGCAGTCGCAGTAGCAGTAGAAGCAGCAGCAGCAGCAGCAGCAGCAGCAGCAGCAGTAGTAGTAGTAGTAGTAGGAGTAGTAGCAGAACTTGTACTAGTACTAGTACTAGTACTAGTACTAGTACTAGTACGAGTACCTGTACTAGTAGATAATGATCTGCAGCCAGGCGAAGCGCGCTTTCATCTTTTGCGTGCACCGGGTATCAGAGCAGATCACTGTCCATCGTCTGCAGCGAAACGCCCGAAAACAAAACGACGTGACCATTAATGGAGGTCCTATGGCGCGTTAAAAGTTCAGAGTGGGCGCACAGCCACCCAATCTTTCGGGAGGCCGGAGGCGAAAACTTGTGGCATCGAAGTCCACGGTCTTGTGCCTGTGTACACTGAGGACGACATCGCAGCCCTCTTATGCGCGGATGGCTTTTGCCAGAGCGCGGGAAGTCGAGGCGTGCAAAGGTGTCGGAGCTCAGAGCTATGCTTGGGCCGATGCAGCCTTGGCTTCCGTTCCTGTGCTCTGCGCCTGGGATGCATCCGGCTCCTTGCTCTCCTGACCGTCGGACTCGTCCTTGTTCTCGTCGTCTTTGGACTGCGTGGAACCCATTTCTTGCGTGAAAGGGTTCGCGCCGGCCGTTACGAACTTATTCAGCTCTTCCTTGATCGAGTAGGGTCTCTCCCCAAGCACCTTCAGGGCTCAATAGCCATGCAGCGAGCGAAGGAAGCAAAAATGGCGCAAGCAACATGTCGCTGCACGGCATCAAACTACATTTTAAGGCCAGCAGGGCCGCAGTAGCATAAACATCAAGAGTCCAGGGCCTCGACGAGGTCATGGTATACCAGAGTTTCCTGGCAGCAGGCCGAAGCACAAGATTCACCAGATTGCAATCTCATCGAAGTCGAAACAACTAATAACGTCAGGTCACGCCAGCATGGCAAACATCTATCTGGACATCTGAACCCCCCAAAAACCCAAACACTTAAAACCCTGAGCTCCCCCCGCATCATCCCCCCCCATCCCCCGCCTTCTCGGCAAGCTTATCCGCCAAGAGCTGCAGCTTCTCGCTCTGCTCTTCCAGGAGCTCCTTGACTCGCCTGTACTGCTCATCGACGATACTCCGAGTTTGTTCATCGATCTTTCGACCCGTCTCTTCGCTGTAGGGCTTGTAGAACTGCTCCGAGGCGTTGTTCTGGCCGTAGGAGAGCAGCCCGAGCTCTGAGTTCATCCCGTAGACCGCGACCATGGAGTAGGCCATCTTCGTCACTTTGTCGAGATCGTCCGAGGCCCCGGTAGAGATCCGCTTCACGAAGAGCTCCTCCGCCGCCCGGCCGCCCAGAGCCACCGCGATCTTATCAAGGATGGCCTCCTTGCTGAAGAGGCTCATCTCAGCTGGGAGGTATTGAGCGAAGCCTAGAGCTCCACTACTTCGTGGCACAATGGAGACTTTGAGGAGTGGATCCGCGTGCTCCAAGAACCAACCTGCCACGGCATGTCCAGACTCATGCAGAGCCACCGTCCTTTTCTCCGCCGGGCTCATCAAGCTGTTTTGCTTGGGTAATCCACCCAGAATCCGCTCCTAGTTCATGGTTGGGGTAGTATTAAAAATTTAAATTTATATTCCTTATTGGGTTTAAGTACCCTTAAAAATGTAAAATGTTACCCAACTATGGCAAAGGCTCTGTGGCCCGCTCGAAATCCTGCATCTCCACCGACTCCGCCGCGCGTCGCGCGGCGAAGATGGCGGCCTCGTTGCAGATGTTGGCGATGTCCGCCCCAGCGAAGCCCGGGGTCAGAGACGCCATCCTCAGTTATAAGTGGGGTTATAATTGGGGTAACCCATCTTAGGGGATTTATAACCCTACTTGTAACTACCCCATGAATCAGGGCAGCCTCTTCGCCACCTCCTCTCGTTTCAAGTCCTTGTGCAAGGTCACCGGCTTCCTGAGCCGCGACTGAGACTCTACTTGGAGGACCCTACTTTTTTGTAGGGTCCCTATAAATCCCCATATTCGGGTTTATAATAAGAACCTACAGAAAAGTGCTTTGGGTTCTTAAGGTAAACCCTACTTGGAGGACCATGGGACCTAGTAGGTAAGGTTATAAGTCCCCTAATTGGGGTCATAAGTATACTTACCTTAGTTATAACCCTACTTACGAAGTCCCATGATCCTTTAAGTAGAGGAGGGCTGAGGGCTTTCTTTTGGTGCTTTCAAGAGTCACGGCAAAGTAGGGTGCCTAGGAAGATTTCGATTCAAGACTCCGGGAGAATCTAGGGTCTTATGTGGTTGGAGAGGCTGCGCAACCATCCCTCGAGGCCCTCAAGCTTCGTCCTGAGGATCCTGATGACCGGGCCGCTGTCAGGAAGGCAAGACAGAAGGATCCCGTCGGGACTTGGAAACTAAGCAGGAAAAAGGGATCCCTAAAGTCCTAAAGATCACCTAGACCTCCCTCCCTAAAGGGCCGAGAGAAAGGCCCTGAAGCCACGCTTCAAGTGAACCATGAAGATCTTCTCCCTCTCAGCCAGGTCTGGCTTATCGATGGCCTCGGACTCCCGCAACTTGTTCTCTCCGGGCACTTTGAGTTTACCATAAGGCCCTAAAGTGATTCCTTTTTGAGGGTTCATATATAGAATCCTATAAGGTAACCCCAAGGGTTTACCTATAGTCTCCATTGTAGTTCCTTTTTTGGTTTAACCAATTTTATGTTAAGGATTTTCTAAGGTATCCCCAAAAAGGAACTACAATGGAGACTACAGGTAGTTTCCTGTTCGTCCCGAAAAAATGACGAGACAGTTGTACCCAGGGGTCAAAGCCCCTTTTCTTCTGAATAAGGGCTTAGATGGTTTCGACTCTCACAGCTAGCAGCTAGCACCAGCCCGGCATGGTGCCGTGTGAGTAGACCGTGTCCAACAAGTCCAACAGCCGGTTTTGGGTCTAGGGTTACTCTCGGCTCTTCAGGCCTGTCGATAGCCGTGGTCGGAGCTCAGCCAAGTCCCGGCACAACATTGAAACGAAACGGGTTTAAGCAGCGAAAGAGGGACATGTTGCAAACTGAGGCAAAACACGATTTGGCGATCAAATCGCCCAGGTCGAGTGAGTGCTGGATCCAGAATATCTACCCGGTTCGTACCTGCGAGCACAACCACTCCGGTGCCCGAGGTAAAGCCGTCCATCTCTACCAGCATCTGGTTCAGAGTGTTCTCACGCTCATCATTGCCACCGCTGAAGCCACCCTTGCCACGTCGACGCCCGACAGCATCAATCTCGTCGATGAAGATGATGGATGGAGCACTGGCCCGTGCCTGCTGGAAGAGGTCTCGAACTCGCGAGGACCCAACGCCCACGAACATCTCTATGAAGTCCGAACCGCTCATGGCGAAAAAAGGGCAGTCGGCTTCACCAGCAACCGCTTTTGCAAGCAACGTCTTGCCTGTGCCAGGCGGACCGACTAGCAGACCACCTCTAGGCACACGTGCACCAAGCTGCTCATACTTGGTCGGGGCGCGAAGAAAGTCCACAAACTCCACCACCTCCGCTTTTGCTTGATCAAGGCCGGCCACATCGTCGAACTTGATCTTGGACTTCAGGTCTTTTGACCCAGCAGGGAAGGCCTTGCCAATGCTAAAGATATTTCGCCCGCCGGGCCCGCCCACTCCGGGGGTTCCAGGCCCCATGCCACTGGCCATCGATCTGGCTGCAAAGAGCAGCGGGATGAGGAAGAGGAGGGTGGGGATGTGAGGAAGGATCTCAGACATGAGATCCTGCTCATCGATATACTGGACCGGCACATGCTCCATCGGAGAGATCCCCAAATCATTCTGTGCCTGCTCCAGCTTCGCCTCAAAGGTTTCCGGGCTTCCTAGCTGGATGGTCATGGTCCGAGGGCCTTTGCCGCTGTTTCGCTGGGCCTCACTCTCATTCATCGGAGCATCAGGGCGCAGGTGTACCCGGCAGAAGGACTTGTTGACAATCTGAAGCCGCTCCACATGACCCTTCAGCAAGTAATCCCGGAGCATCTCCTGGATGGTGATCTCGTGATCGCTTTGTCCACCTTGGGAGAAGTAGTACATTAAGAGCAAGCCAGTGGCCACTGAGAAGACCACGATCTGCCGCTGTGAATCTGCATGAGGGTTCATATCTGACCCCTTTCCTTTTCCCTCCTTCGGAGCCTCTTTGCCATCTCTCGACTGGTTCGAGCGACCCGAGCCGGACTCGGCTTCCTTGGACTCCTTGGGTGCCTCTTTAGGCGTTTCTTTTGGTGCCTCCGACTTCTGGGACTCAGCCGTCTGGCTCTGCTTGGGCTTACTGTTCTTCCCGTTCTTCTCAAAGAACTTCTCAAAACCTTGTTCATGGCTGGGGTAGTATTAAAAATTTAAATTTATATTCCGTATTGGGTTTAAGTACCCTTAAAAATGTAAAATGTTACCCAACTATGACAAAGAAACCCTTGGGCGGCTTGCTCTCCCCAGAGAAGCATCGCCTGCCCGGGAAGGGCCGTCCCAAACGCCCGGATCTCGCTCGCCTCAAGCTGACGGAGTCCAGGCTTTCGGGCCCCGGCTGGAGTCTTCTGGCTATCAGCCTCGGGAGGTGTTTAGGGTTTAGGGGTTTGGGGGTTTAGGGGTTTAGGGTTTAGGGTTTAGGGTTTAGGGTTTAGGGTCTTCTGGCTATCAGCCTCGGGAGGTTCGAGGTACTTCTGAATTTGGATAGCATGGCCCACTCGGCGCCTATGGGGCCTACAGCTCTTGGCTGCCACTTCAGGCTACCGTTTCTGGCTTTGAGATCGGCGGAACCCGACTCTTGGACATGCCTGACGGTCCGCACCAAAACATGCCGAGGGTTATCTGCACTGTGGCTGGCATGACGCAGTCCTTCGTTTTGCATCCTGTGCCGTCCCGATGCATGCAAAGTCACAATTAACAGGCTTCTTGCCTGGGGCGATCATGACCTACCACACAACGCTGAAGCTAGTTGTTTGCATGCACGTTGCCTACGTTCTGCCCTTGTTCAGATGTCGAACGAACTCCTTCACGTAATTGAAGCACCGCGCCTCGGATCGAGCTTTTCAGGCCAGCGCAAGCGAATGACGTGACCGAAGTCTACAGGTCAGCCCAAACGAGGTGTAGTCTTTGCGGTGCTTTCCAACCGAGCTCAGGAATTCGGAATGTCTGCGTTTCAGAAGCCAGCCTGCGGCATGTCATTGTGTCCGTGCCCATCAATCCAAAGCGGTGGAAATGGATTCAGCAGCTTCTTGTAGAGTGCCTGTGGGCACAGAACGGTGGGCTGAGCAAACACCGTAACTGTCAGCAAACTAGGACATCATCCCATCCTGGCGCAGTCCCGAAATTCACAAGCTGCAACCCTGAACCCTCGAAACCTGAGTGTGAACCGCAAGCCCAAACCAACACACCATAAACTACCGGGTAGCCTCACCGTTGGCGTAGGGGACGACTTCATCACGAGTTCCGTGCCTGCCGGCTCTGACGAGAACAAGAGGAAGCATCGGACCGGATGGCGGTAGCAGAGCGGAAGCCAATGGTGCAAGAAGTGATCGTTGTGATGGTCGCGGTGGCTGCAGTAGCAATTGTACCCGTCGTCGTTGTTGCGATTTTGGTCGTCGTATGTAGCGAGAGGACGAGAAGGAGCCACTCCATAGCCGTAGTGGTGGTGGTGGTGGTGGTGGTGGTGGTGGTGGTGGTGGCACTAGTACTAGTACTAGTACTAGTAGTAGTAGTCGTAGTAGTAGAAGTAGTAGTAGTAGTAGTAGTAGTAGAGGTAGTCGTAGTAGAAGTATTAGTAGTAGTAGTCGTCGTCGTCGTCGTCGTCGTAGTCGTCGTAGTACTAGTGGTAGTAGTAGTAGTAGTAGTAGTAGTAGTAGTAGTAGCAGTAGCAGTAGCAGTGTCTGAGCCGGCAGTGTTTTCGAGACCAGACCTTCGGGGTAACAACATGGAAGGAGTTACCTTTCAGCG